TTCTCTCGGACCTCACTCTGTGCCTGCTTCCCCCTTCCTGATTGTGATGTGGGTGCCCACTGGCTGCCCATCATCTTGGGGGGGTTTCGTGAAGGAGGTTTGCATCCCCAGCCTGGGCCCAGGTGTGGAAACGGGAGGCCAGTGGGCTGTGGAGCTTCCTCACAGTCTGCATAATGGTACCCAGTGCAGCAGGGAGATGCCTCAGGGACCCCAAGACACCTGCCTGCCAAAACCTCCCCCAAGGCATGTTCTTGAAGTGTCCTGGGTCCCAGGAGGGGAAGGGGTACCTTTCTCAGGCCCCAGGTGGACACTGAAGTCCCCCGCCTGGGTCCTGGCTCCTCAGACAGGTGGGTGGGGGTGGGGGCTTCCGTGGTGACAGAGCTCACCCTGCTCCCTGAGCCGGCCAAGAACCCCTTCAGGAGTAAGGGGCGGCCATTTGGGGTTGGGTTTCTCTGAGTGGGGCCTGCCGCTGTGACTTTTATTCTGTTCTCTTTCTGTCAGATTGGACACAGCCCCTCTCTAGTCCTTAATGGCTCTGGCTTTGAGAATTTCCTCCAAAATTACACCACCACTTTCTGTTTCATCGTTCCATGGAGCCCGTCCACACAAAGGGGGCAGCTCTGCCCCTGCCCTGCTGGGGTGCCCATGTGGGCCTCTGCACCTGGCCGCTCCCCTGGGGCCCAGGAGGGCATTTCACTGGGGCCCCTGAGCCTGCACTGAGGGCGGAGAGGACTGGAGGCTGGCACCCGGTGCTCTCCACCGTTCCCTCCTCGGGCCAGAAGTCGGGCTGCTGGCCTGCCTGTGTTGGTGGGGGAGGTGGCCCACACAGGGCCACCCCGCCTTTCTTTTCTGCTGTGCCCGTGGAGCTCCCAGCCGCTGAACTATAATTGTCACCTGCAGGGTTTTAATGGTGAGCCAGCTGTGCACAGCGCAGGGAGGGGCCTGAACGCCCTCCTCACTGGCAGATGGGACTTTTTGGGGGAGTTGGGTAGACACGGTGGTAGGTGGCTAGGGGTCCTCCCAGTGTGGGCAGTGCTGCAAGGGGCCAGTGCTCGGCTAGGTGGGGTCGGGTATGCCCCTGGGATGCATGCAGGCAGCTGTCCCCGGGTCCATGCCTCAGTCCCACCAGACCTGGGAACCCATTCTGCTCGGCAGTGCCCTTCCCTCGGCTTCCCCAGTCGTCCGTTGCTTGGGGCTCCATGGTCACACGCTGAAGTGCCACGGCCCTGAGGTCCGGCATGAAGCCCTGGGTGCCATGCAGGTCCTGAGAGTGGGGACCTCATGTCTGGCTGTGTCCCATCAGTCCTGCCCTCCTCTCCCTTTGCTGGTCTCCTTTGTCCCCCAGGTCACAGTTCCCTGGCAGGAGGTGCCTCACTCTGCCTTGGGCCTGGGAGGGACGGCCCTGAGGCCTGGAAGGTGGGGGCCTTCCCTGAGAACTGGGGTGCCTCCAGCCCAGGGAGGACAGGACTTGAAAAGAGACAGCCCATGGGGTGGGAGATGGGCTCAGGATGGATTCTGAACCGTTTGAGAGGACAGTGTGCTTCCACTTTTGGAAGATACTGTTTTGTTTTTAATTATACAAAGTTTCCAGACTTTATATTATCATATCAAAGACACAAGATGCCAGCATGTAGTGACCAGAAGAAAACCCAGGTAGGAAGCCAGCGTGGAAAGTTCCAGTGGGCCTGGGCAAGTGCTGTGGCCAGCTTAGAGTCCTGTGGCTGCCTGCCTGTCCATCCGCCCCACTCGTAGCCGGCGGCGGAGCAGGCCTGGTAGGTGGGAGGCCTGTGCCCGAGTCAGGTCCATGGGGGCTCTCCGCGGATCGCCCAGTGGCATCAGCCTCTAACTCCGAATCGCCGTCTTTCTGTCACGGTCCTTGCTCTGCAGAGGGGAGGGCAGTGTCAGGGCCTGAGCAGAGACCCAGTGCCAGCCCGCGCCTCTGGGCTCCCCCACGCCGTCTCAGGTGGCGGGCAAGGGAAGCACCCCCTTTCGCGCTCACCCCGCTTCCCCGTGCACTTGGGGAGGAGAGTACACACTGCTGCGCAGCCGGAATTGTAAAATTAAATTTCCCAGATGTTCAGGCCCCAGGAGCTCGCGCGTGCTGTCTGGAGAGGAAATGGGGATTGGGAAAAGCCGAGCCGTATTTTCTCCCTGCTCACCCTGCTCTTCCGGCGCCACCAAGCACAGCAGGGGCTGTAAATCACAGCGGCCAGCGTCCCCGCTGCGTGGCCCTCGCCCCCAGCCCCCAAGTCTCCTGCCAGCCTCCTGCCTTCAGACCCACAGCACATCTGAGTGGGCAGCCCCAGGGCTGGGCTGGAGCCAGGGGAGGGACAGCAGGTGCCCAATAAACCTCAGGCCAGAGGCAGAGGCTGTAGTCTTGTAAATTGGCCTGGAGGGGTCTCCTTACTGCCTTCCTCTCCCTGGGTCCCCATCCTATGGAGGCAGGGGGTGCCAGAGTTGCTTGAATCAACCCTCCGCTGCCCCCCCCCCCCCAGCTTATTCCAGGTTGGTGTCTGCCCTGCTTGGTTCTCAGACCCCTGCCTGGTCTTGGGTGGGCCTCTCTGGTCCCCATAGAACCTGTGTTCTGAGGACTCATAGGAGAAGGCCCAGCCCTGTCAGTTCCAGCCTTGCCCTCCTTCCTCCCTGAGACCCTTGCCCTTGGGTTACAGGTGCTGCTAAGGGGCTGTTCCTTGGCCCTGTCTCTCTGCCCAGCAGGTGTGAGCTGTAGGGGTGATTTGGAGGTAGGGGTGACACATCCTTCTCAGGTCCCTGTCTGTGGATGCCCCGAGTCCACACTCACCAACTTTCTCTGGTTGCTGAGGCAGAAGGTACAGATCTGCTTGGGCTGGGCATTCTCTGCATCACGAGCAGGGGGCGGCAGGGGTGGCGGGGGGCTGCCAGCCCGCGCTGCATGGAAGAAGGCTGGCCCCGAGTGGCAAGGCTGCCCGTCGCCACAGGCCTCGCCCACCAGCAGCACGTTGCCCAGGTGCGAGATGTAGCTGGAGGCCAGGCGCAGCGTCTCTATCTTGGAGAGCTTGCGGTCAGCCGGCTCAGTGGGGATGAGCGTACGTAGCGCCGTGAAGGCCGTGTTCACGCTGTTGGTGCGGTCCCGCTCCCGCGCGTTTGCTGTGTGCCTCTGCCGGGGCTCCCGGCCCGGCCGTCCCCCGGGTCCCGGGCCGCCCCCCGCCCTCCGGCCCCCGGCCCGTCTCCGGGCGCCCTGGAGGCCACAGCGCGCCGCGTGCACGCGGCAGGGCTTCTCGTCGGAGCCTGAGCTCTCGCTGCCTCGGTCCTCGTCCTCCGACAGCGGGCTCACCTCGGGGTACAGGTAGCGGCCCGGCGGTGCCGAGCGGAGCATGGTGAAGGACAGGGCCGGCGGGCTCGCCGTCAGCTCCTCCGCGCGCAGCGCATGCCGCCGGGCCTCGTGGGCGGGCGCCCGGGCCGGGGAGGCGCGGGTCTGGGGCACCCACGGTGGCGGCTGCGGCGCCGCGCGCACGTGTGCGTCCCGGGCTGGAGCGGGGCCGCGGGCCTGGCCTTTATAGTGGCGGCGGCCCCTCCCCCTCGCAGCCCCGCCCTCCTCCCCGCCTCCCAGCCCCTGGAGGCCGCCTGAGCTGGGGCCCTGCCGTCCCTTTGCTTTCTCGCGCCACGCTGAAGGGGCCCCTTGTGGCCTGGAGCATCTTGCTGTCCCTGGGAGATGCGGGGCAAGTGGGAGCCCCCTTCTGGGTAGTTCTGAGGCTGTGCTATGCAGTCCCCTGCTCTCCCCATCAGCAGGGGCAGGAGGGTCAAATGGGACCCATGACCCCAGCCTTCTCCTCTGGCATGACCAAGTTAATCCAGCTGCCCTGGCCCGGGTGCCTAGCCACACCCTGTCTGTCTCTCACTCCCATGTACACTTGGGCCTTCTGTGCCAGGTGGGGGTGGGGGGACACAGAGGAGCATCCAGGAGCTATAGTGCAGCCCCCCTCAACATTTACACATGGGGTCCCCTGGTGGCCCACAGCCTGTCCTGCACCTGCCCCCACCTGGCATCAGCACACCCTCCAAGTCTGGCACAAGCTGTGCCCTCTGCCTGGAACCCTCCACCCTTTCCTGGCTCATGCCTGCTCTCCTGCTCTGGAGCAACTTCTCCATGCCCTTCCACATCCCCCTGCCACTGGGTGCCCCCCTCCCAGTTCAGAAATGGCCATGTAGACTTGGGGGTGCTGGAGGCCCCCCACCCTGTGCAGAGGAGGAGGAAGGGCATTCTTAGCACTGAGCAGGGGCACACAAGCTCGCTTACAAGGAGGACTAAAGTCGGCAGGTCTTGGGGCCGGCAGGTGCAGAGGGGTAGAGCCCAGGGGATTCTGTCCTACTGCAAGGGGGGCCTTGGGCTCCCAGCTGGGCTCAGTCTCATCTGGGCCCCTCCCCCTGTGGCTACTGTTGCAGGAAGCGGCTGCCTGGGCAGCAGTCTCCGTGCTGGGCGGAGGGAGGGTGGTGGCTGGCAGGGGCCTCGACCAGGAATGTGTGTCCAGGAATGTGGCTGCTCTGCCCATTGGGGGTGGGGGGACAGGATGGGGGTGGCTGGGGGGCTCTTTGGATGCCTATAGGGCAGTATGCAATGGTTTCTGCCTCTGCTTGGAGGGGGTTGGCGGGGTCTTCCTTGTCTGTGGCTGCCCATTTTTACTTAAGGCCCTGCCAGGGGAGGGAGCCCACGCGATGAGCTCACCCTTGTCTGTGGCTCCAGAACCTTGGCCAGGGAATCCAGGGGTGGGGGGGTGCTCAGGGTCGGCACCACTTCAGTGGAAAATGTGAGGTGCAGCTCTGGAGCCTCTGCAGGCTGAAGGGGGGCAGCCTGACCGCCTTGCCACGTCACACCCCAGGGCAGGCACGTGTCTCAGGGTGCCTGGTCCTGCCTCGAGGCCCATCCCCAGTTCTCACCCTTCCCCCTCGTCTGTGTCTCTGAGGGGCTTGAAAAGGGGTGGGCAGGTGGGTCCGCAGTGCTGACACACCGTCTGCTGCCATAGGATGTGCGGAACACGGTGGGCAACGTGCCCCTGCAGTGGTATGACGACTTCCCACATGTGGGCTACGACCTGGACGGCAGGCGCATATATAAACCCGTACGAACTCGTGATGAGCTGGACCAGTTCTTGGACAAAATGGAAGACCCTGATTACTGGTGAGCCAGGGTCTGGGGGGTGAGGGGCAGGGCCTATGGGGCAGGATGGGGACTGAGAGCTCATCTCTGATGGGCACCTCCCTCCACCAGGCGCACAGTGCAGGACCGGATGACAGGGTACGATGTGAGGCTGACAGATGAGCAGGTGGCCCTGGTGCAGCGGCTGCAGAGGGGCCAGTTTGGGGACATCAGCTTTGACCCATATGAGGTAGGTGGCAGTAGCTGGTTCTGGGGTCTAGGGCACCTGCAGGGACCTGGCCCACAGCCTGTGCTTATATCCCCAGCCGGCTGTGGACTTCTTCAGTGGGGACCTCATGATCCACCCTGTGACCAACCGCCCTGCCGACAAGCGCAGCTTCATCCCGTCCCTGGTTGAAAAGGAGAAGGTAGATGCCCCCTCCTCCAGGGTGCAGCCCCCATACCACCTGCGCTAACCTAGTCTGTCTGTAGGTCTCTCGCATGGTGCACGCTATCAAAATGGGCTGGATTCAGCCTCGCCGACCCCAGGACCCCACCCCCAACTTCTATGACCTGTGGGCCCAGGAAGACCCCAGTGCTGTGCTGGGACGTCACAAGATGCACGTGCCTGCACCTAAGCTGGCCCTGCCTGGCCACGCCGAGTCCTACAACCCGCCCCCCGAGTACCTGCCAAGCGAAGAGGAGGTGAGCTTCACCCTGGTGGGGTTTGGGCCCTGGACCCCGGGCTCGGCTCACCCCACCCGCATTTCCACAGCGGCTGGCTTGGGAGCAGCAGGAGCCCAGTGAGCGGAAGCTCAACTTCCTGCCACGCAAGTTCCCGAGCCTACGGGCCGTGCCTGCCTATGGCCGCTTCATCCATGAGCGCTTTGAGCGCTGCCTTGATCTTTACCTGTGCCCACGGCAGCGCAAGATGAGGGTACGCAGGGGCGGTATACCTGGGCAGGGGTTTGGGGGGAGGGGTACAAGGTGACCACGTGCTCTCTTGCCCTAGGTGAATGTGGACCCTGAAGACCTCATCCCCAAATTGCCTCGCCCACGGGATCTGCAGCCTTTCCCCACGTGCCAGGCCCTGGTGAGCAGGTGGGGTGGGCAGGAAGCACACTCCTGTGTGTCTGTCTCCTCACTGCCCCTTCTCCGCAGGTCTACAGAGGTCACAGCGACCTCGTCCGCTGCCTGAGCGTCTCCCCAGGGGGCCAGTGGCTGGCTTCAGGTGGGCCTTAAAGTGGGGGAGCCCCAACATGGGGGCCTGGGTGGGAGGGTGGATACTGAGGGCCTCTCTGCTGTGTGCAGGCTCAGATGATGGTTCGGTGCGGCTCTGGGAAGTGGCCACTGCCCGGTGCATGAGGACTGTGTCCGTGGGGGGCGTGGTGAAGAGTGTTTCATGGAACCCCCACCCCACCATCTGCCTGGTGGCGGTGGCTGTGTAAGTGCGAGGCTGGGAGGGGGTGGCTGGGGCAGCAGGGGCTGCTGTGTCTGAGGGTCTGCGCTTGGCTCTGGCCTGCAGGGAGGACACAGTGCTGCTGCTGAATCCGGCTCTGGGGGATCGGCTGGTAGTGGGCAGCACAGACCAGATGCTGGGCACCTTCATCCCACCGGAGGAGCCTGCCCTGCAGCCTGCCCGCTGGCTGGAAGCCTCAGAGGAGGAGCGCCAGCAGGGCTTGAGATTGCGTATCTGCCACGGCAAGGTGTGGGGAGTGGGGGCTGGGGGCGTAGGAGGGGCAGAGAAGGGCTCTGCTCAGCCAACCTTGCTTCCTGCAGCCAGTGGCCCAGGTGACCTGGCACGGGCGTGGGGACTACATGGCCGTGGTGCTGGCCACCCAGGGCCACACCCAGGTGCTGATCCATCAGTTGAGCCGTCGCCGCAGCCAGAGCCCCTTCCGCCGCAGCCACGGACAGGTGCAGTGTGTGGCCTTCCACCCCGTCCGGCCCTTCCTGCTCGTGGCCTCCCAGCGCAGTGTCCGCCTCTACCACCTGCTGCGCCAGGAGCTCACCAAGAAACTGATGCCCAACTGCAAGTGGGTGTCCAGCTTGGCCGTGCACCCTGCAGGTGAGGGTGGGGGACCAGGTGTACCTTGTGGGTGGGGGAAGGGAGTTCACCCCTTGGGTGGAGCCACTGAGCACCACGTCTGCCCCCAGGTGACAATCTCATCTGCGGCAGCTATGACAGTAAGCTGGTGTGGTTTGACCTAGACCTTTCCACCAAGCCCTACCGAGTGCTGAGGTGAGATCCCTATGGGTGCGTGTGCGCGCGTGTGCGCACCAGGGCTTGCATCTGCGGGCCCCTCCCCTCCACCTGCCCTCAATTGAGCCTCCTTCCCAGACACCATAAGAAGGCCCTGCGGGCAGTGGCCTTCCACCCCCGGTACCCGCTCTTCGCATCTGGCTCTGACGACGGCAGTGTCATTGTCTGCCACGGGATGGTGTACAAGTGAGTGCTGACCCCTGCCTGTCCCCCCACCCCGAGCGGACTGTCCACCTGTCTGAGCCCCTCCCCTCTCCCATAGTGACCTGCTGCAGAACCCGCTGCTCGTGCCTGTGAAGGTGCTAAGGGGGCACACGCTGACCCGGGACCTGGGTGTGCTGGACGTGGCTTTCCACCCGACCCAGCCGTGGGTCTTCTCCTCAGGGGCTGATGGTACCATCCGTCTCTTCACCTAGCGTGCCCTGCTGCTCTGGTCCGCGCACGTGCTTGGGACTCAGAATAGAGGTGTTTCTTTCCTCTGGTTGGTGGTGTGACCTTGAATTTGAGTTCCTGATTAGCTACCCACACCACACCTCACTCACTCCATCTTCCCAGTGGGGGGTGGGGGGACCAGCTGACCTGTCCCACAAGGAAAGTCAACCCCCTTTTCACCTGCTGAGGAGTGAATGGCTTTATTGGAAGCAGCTGGAAGGCACAGGCTGCCCTGCTCTGCTCAGTCCCCAGTGTGGCCTGGGGCAGGCATTCCACTGCCCCCTTCAGAGGTCCAGTCTGGACCTGACCTGGTGCTGCTTTTGGGGGCACCATGCAGGAACCTCAGGCAAACTTCACCAGGCGGCCCAGAGTCTCAGCAGCTTTCACACGCACCGTGGGGGCTGGGTCCTTGAGTAGGAGCTGCAGGGCTGGGGGACAGGGAACTGCTGTGGGGCACCTCCATGGCCTCTTGAGAACTGACCCAGGGTCCCCACTCCCAGCTGTAGTGCTAGGATTTGTCCCACCCCCTTCCTGGCGCAGGACCCCATGGAGCATTCTCCGCCCTGCGCGTGGGGCCGCCCGCCCACCGCCCTCCTAAGACAGGCCTCTGCTGGGAGGGCTCAGGAGCCAACGGAAAGATAGTTTTTCCTTTTTTAGTGTTTTTTAAGCTCTTTTGGAACAGTTAAGAAGTTTCCGTGAATTACTAGAGACGATGAGGTCACCAGTGACAGGGAAAAAATCCTTGAAATCCAGGAAAATCACTTAGTCCCCCCTGGTGCCCACAGGGTCAGTGGGAGCACTGAGCAGCTGGACAGGTGGGGGTGGCAGGGGGCCTCTGGGCCCCTGACCCCATGGGGAGGTGGGGGGCGCTGCTCACCGGCAGTGAGTTGCTCCAGGTCCACCTGTGACCGATGCTGTGGCTCCACGTGTAGCACTAGGAAGCCTGTGGGCAGGGGCTGGGGTCAGGGTGAGCGTCAGGCCCTGGCGAGGGGGCAGAGGAAGGCACTCACCTGTGAGCATGGGGGCGGCGGCACGGACGTCCTCCCAGCTGCTCTTGAAGTAGAACAGGCTGGTGCTCACCAGGCGACCCAGCAGGTCCGGGAAGTGGCACATCTGCAAAGGCCCCCAGTCAGGAGCACCCTCAAGGGCCACACTCAGCACTCCACCCACACCCACACCCACACCCCTCACCAGGTGCTTGCACGTGGTGTTGAGGAACTCCCCAAAGTGCAGGCCGCGGCCATCCTGCAGGTGCTTCTGGAAGACAGCTGCCAGCTCCTCGCACTCCAGGTTGGGGCCACACATGCGCAGGGCAAACCTGCAGGCCTGCGGGGCAATGCTCAGTCCCCACGTCCAGTCCGAGCCCCGTCTGGCTCACTCATCCCCCCACTGGCTACTCACACCAGCCACAGGGGCCTGGGGGTCCTGCAGGTGCAGTAGCAGGGGCACCAGCCCACCAACCACCTGCTCCAGGAAGACATCTTCGCAGTCCCCATGGCAGGCCTTGTTGAGGTGTCCGAAGAGGCGGATGGACACAGAGCGGAACTCCATCTTCTCCTGGGGGGAAAGGGGGTGCACTCAGGCATCAGCCACAGGACACCCCCCCAACCCTGCTGTCACGGGCATCAGGCTCTAGGCCCTTTCCCTGCATCCTTGTCCTCCTGCTTGGACACTCCCGGCTGCATGGCCTGGCAGGCAGGGTGCCTGCAGCAGTGGAGGTGCCTGCAGCAGTGGAGGTGCCTGCAGGGAAAGCCCTGGGGGCAGGGAGTTCCATGCCAGGAAAGCCCTGGGGGCCACCCTAAGCCAAACCCACACTCTGGAGGACCTACTTGGGCCCTGGAGAGGAAGCACCATTGCTGGGACCCAGGGAGTGGGTGGGGCAGGGGCTGAGGCTCAGAACAGGCAGGAGGGCCAGGGAGCAAGTGCCAGGCCCCTGGCTGGGAGTGGGTGCCCCCCGGTCCCTGTCCAGCCTACGCTGTCGAAGAAGGGCCGGATACGGATAGCCGTGTGCAGAAGCACCGAGCGCAGATCCCCGGGATCCACCAGGCCCAGCAGCTTCGCCAGGCCCGCCATGGCCTCCAGGGCCACCAGGCTGTGTGGATCGTCCCCGTCGTCCAGCCCACTGATCATGGCTGTCAGGAGCTGGGGGCCATGGGTCCGCACCTGGGGACACCCTGCACTCAGCTGTGTCCTCAGGTCACCAAGCTCTGGTGCCTGTCACACATCATTTCACAGAATAATCCAGCCCCCACCCTGTAGGCTCACTAGGAGACACATCCCTAACCCCCCCCACCCCACCCCCACTCTTCACACCCCTTATCTGCCTGGGTCTCCCAGGCTACAGCTCCATTGTCCATCTCGCACTCAGGGCCCCTGAAGGGCAGGCTGGCCGGCCAGCTCACCTCATTGGGGGAGCCAGAGGCGATGTTGGCCAGGCCGCGGAGCACCAGCCGCCGCACACTGGCACATGGGTCCTTCTGCCGGGCTGCCAGGTTGTTCAGCAGTGACTCCAGGAGCATCAGGTCATTTACCACGTTGCTGTTGAGCAGCTGGGGGCAGAAGTGCTGGGACCACCTGCTCCCCCAGGTGCTCACCTCACCCAGGCCTGGGCTCCCTCAGGACCCTTGCTGGTGGCAAATAACCACCAGCTCCGTCCCCACCACTCCCCAGTGCACTGCTGGGCTCAAGGCCTCCCTTGTCCTCTTCACCAGCCCTCCTGTGTGGCCCTGGGCCTTCTTTAGCATTCTCAGTGCTTTGGTCTAGCAGAGGCTCCCCCTACTGTGGCCCAGGGGCTGCTGCACCCAGCAGCACCAAGTGGAGGCTGGCGATGGTTCTGGCCAGGCAGGTCAGTACCAGCCTGTGGGGGTTGCCCCATGCTGCTGGGCCCCTGGTGGTGATCCAGAGCAAGTGGCGCCTACCTCGGCCAGGAAGGCTGTGGAGGTGACCCTCTGGGCCTCATACACGCTGCTCTGTGTGCTCAGGAGCGCCTTCATCACCAGGGGCAGCCGGGGCCCTGCGAACTTCGCCATGGCACTGGGGAGGGGTTTGCACCATACAAAGGTGGGACTTCGGGCCACCCCCAAGCCCACCCTGGGCCAACTCCCCCATAGAACAGGTGTCGGGGTGCCTCTACTCCGTCCTGCACACCAGAGCCCTCTGGCCCATGAGCTTGTACCCCCAGCCGCCAGGCCCTGCATAGTGGGGACTCCTCTCCCCACCACCAGCCCCTGGACAGTCAACACAACCAAGTGTGCAGCCATCTTTGTGCCCCCCTGCCACACGCCAGACAGAAGCCCCACACCGGCCCTCACTGCTCTCAGGCTGGGCCTATGGACTCAGGAAGCTCTTACCGTGCCACTGCGGGGGGTCCCAGGGCCCCTAGACATTGCCTGCCCACAGTGCTTACCTGGCCAGCCGGGCGACCCCATCCTCATGCCCCACAGAGGTCCGCAGCGACTCCCAGCCCCGCTCCAGCTCCATGCGCTGCACCACGTCCTCACTGCCGCCCCGGAGCAGCATAGCCCGCAGGGCGTCCACTGCAGAGCTGCAGGGACACACGGCTGCTCACTATTCTCCCCCAGGTGCACGTGCACACCCACGCCCTGCCAGCTGCCCCTGTGGGGAGCAGGCCCTCAGCTCCCCCTGCCCACTCTGGGCACAGCCAGGCGGCTATGGACCACTGGTCTCAGGTGGGCTATGGAGACTGCTCCTGTCTCCAATACCGGGCCCGAACCTTCACTGTTTCTGCAACGCAAACCTTGTCTCTACCATTTGCACAGCCTTACCCACCTGGGAGACCCCAAAGCCCTGCAGGAAGGGACAACAGGTAGGGCCCGGCCCACCCCCAGATGTCTGGGCTGCTACGCGAGTGATGGAGAGAACCCTGCTCTGAGGACATGTGGTGGCCAAGAGCTGGAGCAGCTGGCAGGGAGTGTCCAGCTCTGTCCACCAGCTCAGCCAATTGGCGGATGGCAGGTGTGCACCTTGCCTGCTGCCCCAACCAGAACCCTGCAGGAGGAGCCAGAGCCACAGGGCACACGTGAAATTCACTTGGATAAACCCCCAGCTCAGACATTCAAGACAAGGTCTGGGGAGAGCGGTGTGGGCCCCACACCTATCAGAGCCTCCCAGCAAAGGCTGTGACCCAGAGATAGCCCAGCAGGTTCCTCAGAACCACCAAGGGAGCTCCCCTTCCACCTGCATATCCTGTGACCTCTCCCTTAAACAGTGGTCACCTCACACTTGCCTGTGGAGATGCATTTACAGGGCACTGTCTCTGGGAGCTCCTGGCCTAAGGGCAGACCCCAGGGTGCAGTACACTTGACTCACCTCCCTCAGCTCAACAGCATGGACACAGCCCAGTCCATTTATCCCATCCTGTCCCCAAGGTCACCCTCACTGAGCGCCCTCCCCACAGAGAAAGCACCAGGAGGCGGCTCTTGCTGTCCCCTTTGCTGTTCCTGGAGCCCAGAGTCCAGCCGAGGCCCAGTCACTGTTGGTGCTTCCCTCACCAGCCACAGTGGTCAGTGGTCAGACGCTCAGGACAGCGGCAGGGCCAGGCACACAGGGCCAGCCCCACACCCTGTTCCAGGCTGAGACCAGGCTCTGGGCGGCTCTCAGCTGCAACAAATGGAGGCGCCGTCTGGCCTGGGAGAATGTGAACAATTTACGTGAGGTACCTCCCTTGCCTGCCGCCTGGAATTCCTGTGGCTGTGGCATTTGCAAAGGGTCTGACTCGCTCTCTGACAGCCTCTGTCAGAGCCGAGACCTGTGCCTGGCTCTGTTCATATGCCAGCTCAAGGGTGGCAACCCAGGGGCCCCTGGTGAGGGTGTGCAGCCTGCAGCCCCCACAGCTCACAGCTGCAGGGCAGCATCCGGCATGCCAGGCCCAGGGCTCACTGGGCTAGTGTCCTCTGGTCCGTTCACATTTTCCACTTGGCCTGTGCAGAGCTGGGCAGGCCCTGGCACGCAGCCTCTGCTAGACTTTACGAGTAGGTCCTGTGGCAGAGCAGCCCTGCAGTGGGGGGCAGGGTGAAGTGACGCTCCCCCCAATATGTCCCAGCCAAGGGGCACATC